AAATACCTATTGAACAGCTCAAGTTATATAAATGCATTAAGCCTGCTGCTAGGTGAAGTGAAAATATTTTAACATAAAACCTTCTAAAACAGTACTCTGATCTTCCACTGCTGTAAATCAAGGTAATTCGATTGAACTCAGTGGACCTACACTGATTTACAGCAGCTGAGGATCCAGCCCTGCTGTTTTCCAAATCATTACTGGAATATGAAGTATGTGTGGACTAGAGCTCTGTGAAATTCAATAGTTCCACTTACCAGGAACTTATGAGAATACTCTTACTGATCATGATTTGAGAGTTTTTCACAGCCCCTAATTTATTCTGAAGTTTGGCTTTGGATAAATCCAGTGACTGAAAATAAAATTGAGCCTAAATTGCTGAGTTCCTTCTGGTTTCACAGTGAAGTCATACAGAACTGAACATTTCATAAATAGAAAACCCAAAACAATAAATTAATTCAGGCCTGCTCTCAAACAGGCCCAAATTAACCACAGAGCAAACTGTTTAATTAAATGTACAGCAGATTTTATTTTGTAACTAGCTGAATGGATGCCAGATGTTTCCCAGTCAACAATAGGTTAACTTCAATTCAGGTAGCCACTTCCTTTACGCATGTATTGAGAAGAAGGCTATATCAGTGGTTCTCCCCTGGAATGACAGAGCAGGTGAATGCTTTTGGGAATTTAGGTGTTCACATTTAGGGTTTATTTGAACCCCTACTCCTACCGTGGTGGAATATTTTCTCTCATAATTTATTGTCCCTTATGTACATTCTTTGTTCAAAAACGATATCCCTTCTGACAATAATCTTTTGATTGTAAGTTTTCAACTATTTAGCTATCATTCTATTCTATTCATTAATTAAGTCTTAGGGTTGAACAGTAACGGGTATGTCTCCCAAGGCTTTGGAACACTACCTTCCTCTTCAGGATGCTGAGGATCAGATAGCAGAAATGAGATGGTTAAACAACCAAGCCTGTGTTTTCTGTATAGTGAAACTGAGCTCACATGCAAACATTTGTGTGTGTGTGTATCTATCTATTGTGGCAAGGACCCCTCTTCCCCAAGCCACTACTGGGGTTTTGCAGCAGGTCTCAGTGGTAGGGAGCCCAAGCCAGGGGCCCACAGGCTCCCTCCTTTGCTGCCTTTACCTAATGTTGGGCCAACTTGTTCTCTCCGTTTCTTCTTCTCTGCCTCTCCACCACCATCCTTCCGTCCTCTCACTCCCCACCTCCAACTGCTGAGGCTTTTAAAGTCCCTCAGAGAGACAGCAGAGAAGTCAGCTGGCCCCAATTTGCCTGAGCCAGCTCCCTCCCAGCTGCACCTAATTGTGCTGCAGTTCTCTGCTTTTCTAACAGGAGTTTTTCCCTTTGGGGTTGCCTTTTCCTTTCTCTGCGCTCCGGCTCAGTGGGTGCCATTCCCCTGCCCCACTGTAACATCTGGGAAGGAGGAGAGGCAGCAGGGTGCAGAAGCTGCTCTCCCCCTCCTCCCCCGCCACTCCTGCTCCTGCACCAGCCGGAGCCCTCCCCACCCAGCCGCCCTTCTGCCTGCCTGCCTGCCTGCTGAGGCCTGCTCCCCTGGACACTGCTTCAGCCCTTGCTGCTTCTCACCACCACCACCACCACCACCAGCTGCTGCTGCCTGAGGGGAGAGGGGGAGCCTGTCAGCTGCCCTCCCTCTCCCCTCCTCCACCGCTCCGGTCTACTCGGCAGCCTCCTCCGCCCGGGGCAACTGGGTCAAGAGCTCTGGCCTGGTGGTCGGGGACGGGTGGCGGGCCGGCTCCCCCCCACCACCGCTTCAGGCCATCAGGTGGAGCGCGGGGCCGCTGCTCTGTCTCGTCGTTTCTTTATCCGC